CCTCTGAGTTAAATTCAAATCTCCTGTTTCTCGCCCAAGAAATACCTCCTTTCTCTGCTAGTTAGTGAAAGAAGCTTAGCGAAATTTGCGTGCTCAGATGGAAGAGCAGGCCTCATGGCCTGAGTCTCGCCACGTAAAATAAAGCATTAATTCAATTCAATTGTTCTAAGGAGAATTTTCCTATTTTTATGTCCTCCATGTTTACTGATACAGATATTTTGCAATTCTGTATTTGTTCATACATAAATTAACTGCAATATTTTCTCTTTTCTGCAGTGGAGTTGGCGATGATTATGGATCGTTTATATGGTGGAGTATGCTATGCCGGAATAGACACTGACCCAGAATTGAAATATCCTAAAGGAGCCGGACGTGTTGCTTTTAGCAACCAACAGAGTTATATTGCTGCCATCAGTGCTCGTTTTGTCCAACTGCAGCATGGAGATATTGATAAGAGGGTATGCGTTGTTGTAAAATATATTCATTTTCTTTTTGAAAGTATGAATGTTATTGAGAATGTAAGTAATAAGAAGTTATTGAAATTCTTTATTGAATCTATATTTGCTATGAATTTCAAAATTGATTGCACTACTATGAATTGATTTTTAATTTTATTAGTTATTATTTCTTACACTGTAAGTAGTAGTGTCAGTAATTACTTTCTTTCAGTACATATGATATAGAATTTAATTTCCAGTTATTGCTTGCAGACTTTAGAGTTCTTAAGAATTGTGACAAGATTTGCACTTCTATATAGAATATAGGCGAGACGTGATCAGTTTTACATTTTTTTATTCTTATTAAAGTTTTTTACTTGATTTTGTCAGGTCAGCTTTTTCAGTGCAAAGTATTTTCAAGACTCATGCATATTGTGATTTGTGTAAATGTATTATTATAAGTGTTTTTGTGATGTTTTTGAATTGGATGAATGCACTGCAGTGAGAATTTATTCCAAAATTCCATACAGGTGCAACTTATTTCAGACTTCAGTTAATACCTATAAAGTGGTATAAGTGTTGTAAACCATTTACCCAATCCTTTTACAAAAGCCATTTAAAGTTACCACTCTACATATGTTGATGTAATGTATACATTTTGTGCCCATTTCTTTTTTCTTGTTAGGTGAATTGAGCTGGCTAATTTTATATGATTAATCATTTGTAAGCCTCAGACTAAGTTTAACTTCTTAAGATGTGACGTGTGTAAATTGTGAAGATATGTAAATACAATTGTTTCTCTAAAAAAGTGTACATTGTAATAATAAAAAAGTAGACAATCTATAGTATATTGTATTTTAATATGTTTAAAAATTGAAAGATAGTAAAACTTCTATAATTGTAGGTGGAGGTGAAACCGTATGTCCTTGATGACCAAATGTGTGACGAGTGCCAAGGTCAGCGATGTGGAGGGAAGTTTGCTCCTTTCTTCTGTGCTAATGTCACCTGCCTTCAAGTAAGTTCATTGATATAGGGATTTAAGTATTATAAACGGTTTTTTTGTTTTTTCAATCATGTTTATTATTGAAGGGAGATTATAAAATTCATTTTTTTAATGAGATTTTTAAAGAAGTTAATAAAATAATTGAATGTGATAAATACTAAACATTTATAAGCCTTTTTAACCCTTTCCGCGCATTTGTCCCACTGGTGGGCCTCAGCATAATTTCCAGTTCTAGTCCTATGCCCCACCCATTTACCCACACTCTTCTCATTATCAGTCCCTTGTGAATTAAGTACTATATGTTTGTGCCATCTCATATTTCCGCTTCCAAATGCTTTAGTGGTTAATTTTTTCTGCTGGTTTGCTTCAAGCAACTTGAAATATACTGTTTTCTCTTAGCTTGTGCCCAGATGTTACTAAATGTGAATAGCAATGGCTTCGGCCTCAAAGCGTGCATCTAGCAGAGCAAAATAAATGAATAAGATTTTAGTACTGCTAGTAGTGATCTCTCTAAATTAGATTATGCAGGTAATATTTTATTTAACCTGTTACCTCCCAAGTTAATTTTGTGCACATAGTGCTCACCCATTGTCATTGCAACAGTCATTGTTGCTGCTGGAAGCATGTTTTTGCAATTTTTGATGCTAATCCATTGTTGAGTTGCTAAATTATATTAGAGCCACTACTTCTATAAAGGTAAAATTTCATTTTTTAAACTTAGTATTTATTTTTACCCATTTTAATCCTGCTGCTGTTCCTGCTCCAACCCAACATTGAATGGAGAGTGCTGGACGATGCCACATCGGACACTTAGAGTGAATCGGCACGGAAAGGGTTAAATTTAATTTATAATGTGAGCGTCATTAATTCAGTAAATTTCTGCTCTCTACTCTCCTGTTTAATATATTTCTACATTATTTTATTTTACACTTTTATTGTCATATTTTAGACATTATTTTTCTTTGAATTTGTATTAATTTGTTACATTAATTATATTGTTCATTAATGAATAATGTGAATGAAATATTACCAGTTATCCAAAAAAATTACATTGATAAATGTTATAAAATGCACTATACCATTGACTATTTAAAATATTTTTTTCTCCTGTTTGAAGGTACCTAATTTTCTGATTCAGTGGCAGGATTTCCCTGGGATGGGGGCATAGTGGCAAATTTGAGCTCCAGAGCAATTTGAATACATAGTAAACTGAAACATTTTCTTAGTTTTCCAAATGTGTGGGGGGATCATCTACCCTTGATCCCCTGTCCCCCCCCCCCCTCCCTTCTCCAACAATTCTGACACATTTCTAATGTATAAATGGCCTTTTCAAAAAATTCTATATCTTAGGTTTAAAAGTGTTATTAATTTTTCATTATTTTTTCTCACAATAACATTAATTCAAGACAGTTCATTTATATTTTTAATAGAATTTTTAATGAAAGAATAAATTGACTAAAAATTCTATCCATTGAATTTCATAGTAATTTGTTTACAAATATGTCTTTACTTCATTATACTTGCAAGTTGCAACAAATACATGTACCATTGCTACAAGTACAAAAAGAATGTGCAAGGAAATCTTACAGAAAAGTAGAAAAGTTTGTGAATATCTTGTTCAGAGAACTTCATTAATACAAGAAATTCTTCATTATCTTTAAAGGAGCTATGGTGTTTACACTTGCACTTTCTCAAGAATTAGCCAGAAGTTTATAATTATCATTTTTGTGATAAAATTTACAAGCCTTCTGAACTCTTGTTTTTCCTTAAAGTCAAATGTTACTCTGAGAAACTCGCTCTGAACAACTGGATATTTGTAATCATAGCTGAGCTTTTAATAGTTAACAAAAACTTTTTTGAAAGGGTTGGTTATTGCCATGGCAATGTAAGTAACATACAATGAAGTAGTAGTGAATATAATGAAATGTGATACAATTAAGTGTTGATGTACAGTACATGAAAAGCAAGACTCCCAATTTTGTATCCTAATAATGTGTACAAAGTATCTAAATTCAGAAATTGATGAATATACCTACTAAAATAATTAAAAGTTTGGATGTAGTATCAACTTCGGTGGGCATCATCTAGTATTGAATTCTCATATTCCTAATATGGTAAGGAAATAATCATCCACAAACTCTAGCAAGGATCTGAGGATGGGAAAAGTGTTTCCTGAAAGTTAATTCTGAGTAATAATTAATAAAAATTATTAAACCTTTTGTGGACGATTATTTCCTTTACCATATTATGAATTACCACAAGATATCTGCTACCTCAACAGAATTTTTTCTCATACTCCTAATGAAGCAATAGATATGTTTGACTGGACATGCCATAATCAGTAAGTAGGTATTACTCTTGCCTTCTCTTAGTGAATGGATGTAGATTTTGCCTGAAGCACTTCTTTGAGGAAGTAATTTAATTTCTAAAGCTGGTTTCTTTGAAATGTATGTTTGTAAGAAAATAGAACAATTTGTGTTTTTGATAATTTGATTGAAATTTTGAATTTCTGCCTCTAATCAGGAATGATTTCTGTCCCAAATCACTTTTAGTAATGATTATTGTTTGGTGTATATGTTTTCCTTTTTTCATAGCAAGTGATGTTAAGTACTAATAGTTTTCACTAACAATCATTATGCAAACAGCTACTGAAATTTAGATTCTACTTTATTGATCAAAATAAAGTAGTACATTTATATTTTACAATTGTTGCTTTTAATTATGTTTAATGTCAATTATCTGTATATGACATGTAAATTAAATTTTTACTTTTCTTCCAGTACTACTGTGAGCACTGTTGGGCAACGATTCACTCCCGACCTGGACGTGAATTTCACAAGCCTCTGGTGAAGGAAGGGGCAGATCGCCCTCGTGCTGTGCCGTTCCGTTGGTGTTAACGTCGGAGCGCCTTAGATGAGTAAGAAAGAACGGCCCTGGAGACAGCCTGGGATGGGGACAGGTGGTGTACAGGCGCTGACATCACGCCCACTTCACTTCACCGCACTCTCCACTGCAAGTCACCATTTTGGCAAAATCTTCGGCAACTAGGAAATTCTGTAGCAAGTGTGTCGTCGCGTCGCAGAAGATACCACCGTTGTAACAACAACTGTAGGCTAGCTGTTTTCATCGCTGTTTATATATTATTATATATAGACATATAATTATATAGGAATATATATTATCTATGAATATTCGATATGTAACCACACATTCTTAAAAATATCTTTTTTAAAAGAATGAGTCCTTCAAAATGTAGCCCAGTCAGGTGGATTGTACATTTGGACAATTTACTCTTTTTAATTACTTGCTGGTTTGCCTGAGGCAAACACAAAAATCCTGTCGCGGCCACTATTCATTGACGATGTCAAACATACGTAGTATTTGTAACAATATAGTGACCGGGTATCTCTGCCAATACTTCATGAAACAGAATTTTTGTGAATTTTCAGGGTACTGTATTTGTAAATATGCATTGATAGTTGAATGAACTTTTGTATCGGTCGTGATCCATGTTAAAAGCTGTGTAACAAGCTTGTCTATTTCCTAGTGCCCTTACCTGCTTTCCCTTAAGCTAGTACCTTTAATATACCTCCTTGGTGTAAATAGTCATTGTAAAAATACCAGTAGTAGTTCAGTATATTAATTTGTTTTATATTGAGAATATCTTCCATATTTATTTTTTGGGTATCATTTTTGTACATAATGAATTTTGCCTCCAGCCATATACAGATTCTTACATTAATAGTGGTCATTTGAACTGTGTTCATGGCCATTTTTTTATACAATTCCTAATAACCAAACAACCTATCTTATAATGTTAATTAATATATTTGTAATATCATTAATAATATAAGTATTGGCAGAGACACTTTTAGTTGACATAACTTTTGTAGCTTTATCGTGCACACGTTTTTTAAAAGTACATGTCGTATATAAATATATATATATATACATATATATATCAAGCTTTTCGTCATCCAGTCCAAACTTGGTAGTGTGTGAATTCTTTTCACAAAACCTTGATTTTTTACCTTTCAATAAATTAATAATTAATGCTTATCAACAATCTGACACACTGACAAATGAATATATACATTTGCCATTTTGTGGCTACTTTTATGGAGAAATATTGTAACAGCCCTTATTTTAGATGTGAACCCTTAGCTGATTGCTCAGGCCATTCTGACGTAACCAAATACATCTTCATTGTATAATGGGTATTTCATGCAAACTGTACCTTCTCGAAGACTGGTATGGTGCACGCGAAGTGGGCCTACTTGAGTGGTTAGTAATATTCTTTTGGGAAATTACAGTAGAACATCTGTGTAACCATTGCTCATTTCCAGCTTTATATGACTGATTCAGCAGCCTCTTGTGTATCCTTTGTCATGCAAACTGATAAATGACAAGGCACAAGTTTTAGTCAAGTATTTTGTCCTATGTCCCACTCAATTAGAACCTTAATGTTTCAGAATTGTATGTTTATATCTTGGTTCACTGACTCATGTAGAGAAGTTCAAGATTGCCTCAAGAAAACATAGCAGGCAGTTTTGTGTCTGTGGTCTGTGGAACTCAATGTCAAGTACTCCACCCAAATATAACATAAAATTCACCCCTTATGTATGATTTTGTCCAACACTCAAGCTGTGTCTACCATCCTATGTATTTTTTATGAAAGGGCTTGTTTTGTATGAGACATGTTAGGTGTCAGGGCACTTTACATTATTGAATGCCCTCCTTCTTGTAATAAGTGTGATAAAGTAAGCATAAGAAGTCATGTAGGTACTTTGCACTAAAAGTAGTCTTTTTCCATAGATTTGTATTTTTGAGTGTTAAAGTTTTTTATACTGCTGTTGTTATCTTAGTTAAGGGCATGAGAATGTAAATGTGTGAAACGGGAAATTGCAGTGGCCCGACAGGTATATATATATTTGATCAATTTAGTTTTCTACTTTAATTCTTTTTATCAAATTTATGGTTCTTAGTGCAAGTGGAATGGATAAGAGTTTGGTGCAGACAAACCTCCTTAGGAGGGACATTATACCAATATATATCTGTTCATACCAAGAAAGCAGTCTGCCTACAAGGAAGGTCAAACCTTCTAGTTCTTTTCCATTCCACTTAGCATAGTTCGAGTGTCTCAAGCAAGCAGAGGTAGTGTACATTCTTATTTTCCTTGTCATGTTTACAACGTTTGCACGTGATCTCCCCATACCAAAGAAAATGTGAAATATGAATGTAAAGTTGCTACTTCATCTGTGAAGCCCTTTGTAATTTTCTGAGGGTTGATCAGAATTCTATACCATTTTTTTCCCTTTTTAATTTTACATAGGTACATAAAATATGTAATTATAAATTGCAATGTTTTTTCCATAGTTGTTGTCTAATGTAGTGCAAAACAGTGCAAATTGCAAAGCTGTTAAAATTACTACTATTATAGTCACGTACCAAAGTTTGGTGCACATATTTCAACACAGCCTTGGGTTATTGTTGTCATTTTTAAAACCCTTTTTTCACCTGTCTAAACAAGGTTTCTGATTTGAAATCCCACGTACAATTCTTTATAAATTTTCAAATGGTAGCACTTGTGCACATGGGGTTTGCCTGGTTAGTTCTCTAGTCATTTGTTGGGAAAGTAGTGGGGTGGGGCTTTGGTCTTGGCGTAGAAACATTCTGGTTCCTACCTTGGGGTTATAGGTAACTGTAATTGACATAACCAACTACCATTTTGGTACAAATAATTATTCATTTTATATCACATTGTTTGTAAAAAATATATAACTTTCCCCCTTTTGTACTATTTATAATGCTTTGAATTCCAAGGGATTACCATGATTTTGCATAATGATATATGTATCAATTTCTAAAAGTGCATCTCTTGGAGTTTTTGGCTCTCCCAAGAGCTCTGTTAGTTGTTGTAAAATTTGTAGTAGGTGTCTGGGAAGAAGAAACAGTTAATTTTTATTGTTTGGTGCCATCAGTTGGGGTGTAGGACTGTGTACAGATTTTTAATTTTGTAAACAGAAGTTCCAGTAAGCAATGTTAAAGCCTTGCTTCTTATTTTAGACTTTCTCAATGACATTTTCTTACTGTTTTAATTGTTACATAGTTGAATGTGTTTTAAATATTTATTCATTTCTAGAAAAAAAATTGAAGATATTTTCATGGTATTTTAACAATTTTTTTTACTTTCCTAGTTATGTTGCACTTTGTTTAATGAGTTTTATATTTTAGCAATTGATTTATGTATACATATATTTTTTGTTTTGTTTGATGTACATATTAAATGAAATGAGCCTCACGATATGCATGGCAAGATGTGATCCTATAGTTAATATGTAGTTGCAACCAACATTACGATGAGGCTGCCTAGCAGCCAGCAACTCCTCGGTCTTCAGTGGCAATGTGCTGGGCTTTCGCACCGCGAGGCAGAGGGTGGGCAGGGAGGAGGAAGAAGAGAATGGCATAGAGTTTTATACTTGTTTTATACTTGCATTCATAGTAGATATCCTACTTTGTATGTGGCAATCTTTCAAATTGCAATGAGTACGCTTGGGACCCTTGATGGGGATTTGTAGCCAGTCACCCACCTTCTGAAGGAGATGAAATAATGGTCAGATGATTAGGCTGGCCTAATATACTGTATCTTTTCTACAAATAGAATACCACAATTTAAATATTTAAAAAAAGTTGATGTTATGTGATAGTTGTATTTAATACAAAATCTACACGTGATTATTTTGTAGCCTTGGGTAACTTATTTAACATTTAGCACTATATTTAACTTTTTTAATAAGACTTCGTAAAATTGTATAAAATATTCCAATGTGATGATTCCATGTATTCTAATGTAATCCAATGATAACTTTGATAGGTTTACCTCCTAATGGTAGGATATGCCTCAGCAGCACAAACACCAAAAGTACCAACTTGTACCTGGGGTGCAAAATAAAACAAAAAAAATCAAGATCTAATACTACGAAATTTTTTCTAATGACCCTCACAGGTGAGAAAGATTTGCCTTTCTTTGAGGTGAGACCAACTTACATCAAGTCAGAGGGTTCGAGTTTTTTACCATCATTCTTATTTAAACACAAGCTTTTTGGCACCGAATTCAGGAAGCTTTCTTAAACTTTAAAATGTTGATAGTGATTATTTCATTATCCTGTTGCTAGTTTTAGGAATGTTAACAAGCTGGTTTTGTGCTGTGTAAATGTATGCATTACAATCTTCCTCTTGTAAAGGTTAAATACGATCGGATGTAACATGCTGTGTTTCATGTTTCAAATCACCTGTTTGGATCTGATACTGAGTATGTGTCTGCTACCAGCTCTGTTTATATAGCAATACACACTATACGCAATCTTTATGGATTGGAAATAGTTTGATAAAATTTGTGAAAGATGTAACATATTGTACTGTAGTATGTTGTCTTTCACACTGAAGCCCCTACAATAAAAATGAATGTGTATGCATCAAAACTAAAATTTACTGAATTGTTTAATCTATTTTACAAAATAATTAATCTACTTTTGGCCTTACAAAGTGCTACTGTGGAAATGTATGGAATGTAAGAGCTGGTTTCCCAAGGTGCTGAAGTGACTGCAAGAAAACGGGAAAGGTTTCAATGCATTGCAATTTTGTGAAATATTTCTTATAAACTAAAAGTCATCACTTACAACAAGTAGTTTCTTTAACATTTGTATACTATCTTCATTGGTTAGTTAAACACTTTTAGAACCCCTTTTTCTTGCAGTTCTACCACGAGGTTTGCATATCCTGTATGTACACAATTCCAATGGCATTTCATAATAATTCTGGATTATAAATGTGAATATCTATTTTCTTATCCAAGCATAATGAAATTGTTACAATCCAGCAACCGCAAAATTCGATTTTGAAATGTTGAATGTGAGGAAACGGACATGGAAGAAATACCCAGTCACTTGAAATTAATGTCCATTCTGTGTCCTGTACATGTTTTAAATCTAATGTATTAGCTGAAGGAGGTTATATTCATCCAAAACTACATGGTGCTTCATTTTTAGATTATGTATATTTTTTAATTTTTGTATATTTAAAATGAAAAATTAGTTGATTTCACAAGTCATTCTCTATGATGAAGTAGATAAGTAAATCATATGTCTCTAATGAACTGGAGCGTATATAAAGACTTTTTTAAGTTTCTTGTTACACTTAACATCTAGTTATAAATAATGTGCAGTATTATTGTATACTGAATTATTCACACCTATTTCAGATAGTCCAATTTTGGGTATATGTGAAATTTTCTGTATGGTTTGCAGTGTTTTATAGCCTGCAGTGATTTTGTACTCTTAAAATACCCATCCTCATCTCACAGCTAATCAAATACTTTAGCCTTTGTCCTAATGCCATGGGCAGTGTTTATCCCCTAGACTTGTTGGCAAATTTGGATATTTCTTTTTCAAGGAAATTAGTGGGTTGCATTCTGCTGAGAGAAGACAGTGTTACATATCCCCCGAATTCTGCTTGACATGCCTCTAGATGTAGGTTGGTAGGTGAAGACATCTTTCAATTACTTTTGTTGTGATATTCTTATTGTTGCTGTGCTAAGCTATGAACAACATTTTATACATATTAGTGCAAGTAATTGAATAGTGGTTCTCTCTTTAGTCATGCTACCTAGTGCAATATGAGTCCCTCTGTGATGTGCTGGTAGGAAGAGGGAGATAGTATGGGCCTTATGCAATATAAATTTGCTTTATTAAATTTAGCTGGTGATTTGTTACCATCTCGACACAGTGTATGCAGTGTGGAAAGCTCTGCACAGGGGCTGGTTCCAGATGGTATCCAACAAGCCCAGGGAATACCAGTTTTATTTTGCCTCTTGACATGAGGATTATAAGGCAAGGGGATGGGATAGTACCCCTCAATTTATGCGAGAATTTCTGGTTAAGCAGGGTTTTACACAAAGTTT